TTGCTACAGGCACAAGCAGGCTGGGGGATTAGCACATGTTTTATGTAGACAGCAAACACATTAGCGGCCTTCTTTGTTCGCCTGTATTTTTCAGGTTATAGGGTTTCAGACCAATTGTAAGCAATAATCAGATGAAGGTGTACGGCGCTCGACCTCGCAGCTTTGAATGGTTCCTTTCGGATGTGCAGAGATGCTTGCACCGCATTTCGAAAGAACTTTAGCAGTATTCCGAGTGAACCTTAGCAGAATATGATTTCATGACAATCAAAGAAGAGGTGAGTAGTGCCGAATGAATGTATGGGTTTCATATGATCCTATCGCGTATACAATGATGTATCAACCAGTATTAGGGTCAGAAGTCAAGCAATATACTATGTTCCTATGATAACAATAAATTAAGAAATCTGCTTCGAGCGGACGTGTAGTGGCATGGACTGTACACTACCAGTGATCTTTGGTTTCAACAGCCCGAATCGGCTCCAGCTCAACCAATCGGAGTTTTTTAGTGTGCGGGAAGGCGTAATTAGTAAACAGACTGTCAAAAATAAAAAAGTCGATCTTACCCTTAGGCGTCACCCACGGCAGGGTCCCCGCTCTTCGTCAAAAGTGGCCTCATCGCCGTATCTTCGAAATTCTGTTCCCTGCAGCGAATTCAATCAGCCACGAACTCTCCATCTTTCAGCTAGGCTTTTTCCAGGCGTTCAGTACTTGAGAGAAAGCTATTGAAAAGCGCGCGAGTTGGACTTGCTCCAAGTTTTTTTCCGCGACTGTATATGGGAAAAAAACTAAACTCACCCCATTTTAACCGGCAGTGACTCCTCAACAAACTCGTCCTTATCCTTGAGAAAGCCCGAAAAGGGTCTCGATTCATGCAGTGGCCCAACTGGAGGCCTACCTGAATGACACCCAAACACTTGATAAAGCTCCATGTAGTCCCTCTTGAACGCTCCGCATTGATGTCGAATATTCAGTTACTTTCATGCAACGATTTTTACGCATGACACTCTTATTGGCACTTCACGTTTTCCGGACCTTCTCGTCTTCTTCAGAGGCCTGAAAATGGCTCGAAGCTTTTAATTTGTTACCTACCCGACCAAACGCCCTCCCCACTCTAGCGTTTCCGACCTTGTTTCCCAAACGCTTCCCAAAAACTCGGTAATGAGTCCTAACAACTCACCGAAGGTATCACCGTGCGGAGCTCAGCTCACGCAGTGGGTTAGTTGAACCAGTAAGGACGAATGAGACTCACTTGTGTCTCACTGTGTCGCAAAAGTCAAAATTGTTATAGCGCACGTAGTCCTTACTGTAGCTCGCACTCTGATACAAACGGCAGGAATTCATTTGTAATAGCCAGACACTCATTTCGGTTGTTCATTCTTGGTTTTCTCGCGAAAATCCAGAATGACTCCAGAACTTTCCTGGCTGAAGTTTCCGTCTCGTACGCCAGTATAACACATTTAACATCAAGTCGTTCCCGTTATGCTGCTCCACCTTATGCTTGCCAAGGGGAGTGGTCATGATATCACGCCTTTTCCCAGCTAGGTGTTCTCCAATGCGCGTAGCCAATACCCTTCCTGTTTCTCCGATATACGTGCTGTTACACGCCCTACATTCAAGCTGATAAATTACTCCAGCTTTCCCGCAATCTCCTAACTTTCCATATGGGCAGATAACGCAGTCTGGTGTCAAGCACTGTCTGTCGTACAGTCTGTTGCGCACAAGTTGGCGTTTGATGTTGCTGTTGGGGATATTCACCAAGACAACATCGTCGTGTAATTGTGCCCTAACAATACTGCGACGTATTTCAGTGCTGATGCCATCGGAAATAAAAGGAAGGCATAAGGGTAGCTTTCCCTGGCGTGATACATGTCGTAGGCTAGCACTCGATGTCCTGCGATGGTCTCGTACCCGCATAACCATTCTCTCTAGCAATTTTTGAAGCTAGAGCTCTTGACTCTAGTCGTTCTTCATCGCCTGTACACATCGTGGTTGCTGTTGTGATCATGTTCCTAATGACTGCACGTTTCACTGCAGCAGGATGTGAAGACGTTGCGTGAATCAGGATATTTTTACAGCTAGGTTTGCGGTACCATTTCACGTTAGCAATGCCGTTGGACAGCTTCACCTGCGTATTCAGATATGGTAGCCAACCGTGTTTTGGTACTTCTCGTGTGAGCTTAATGTACTGCGACTGCTCATTCAGTAATCGGAAACACTCATCCATTTCGGATTGTGTTGATGTTATAATGAAGCAGTCGTCGATATACCTGCAGTACATCAAAGGAGAGCGACTCAGTACTGGTTCTTCAATTCTGCTCATGAAGCAGACAGCAAGTACTGGTGCTAGTCGCTGACCCATCGCCAAACCCCTTACTTGAGAGTAGTACTGTCCTGACCATTTGAAGATATTGCAACGCAAGCATTCTTCAACCAGAGTCATGATGTGCACTTTATTAAGTCCAAAGGTGTCAATGGCAGCCACATACCTATCCAACATTTCGGATAAGGCCTGTAGCGCCTGTTCGTTTTGGACGTTCGTATAAAGTGCAGTGACATCAAATGACTCCACTACACAATCGGTTCCGAAATTCGAATTGCGTAGTTGCTGAAGGAATTGCTGCGTGTTGGTCAGGTGAGAGGGGATTTTTGTCAGCAACTGGCTCACTATTGCATTAAGGTACCATGATATCCGGTCGGTTGGTCCACCAACGCAGCTTATTATGGGTCTTATCTTGTACGTGTCCGGTGACATGTCTGGCTATTACAAATGAATTCCTGCCGTTTGTATCAGAGTGCGAGCTACAGTAAGGACTACGTGCGCTATAACAATTTTGACTTTTGCGACACAGTGAGACACAAGTGAGTCTCATTCGTCCTTACTGGTTCAACTAACCCACTGCGTGAGCTGAGCTCCGCACGGTGATACCTTCGGTGAGTTGTTAGGACTCATTACCGAGTTTTTGGGAAGCGTTTGGGAAACAAGGTCGGAAACGCTAGAGTGGGGAGGGCGTTTGGTCGGGTAGGTAACAAATTAAAAGCTTCGAGCCATTTTCAGGCCTCTGAAGAAGACGAGAAGGTCGAAACGTTAGGCCAATAAAGGTGTCATCTAAAAACCTCGTTTGGCAGAAGTAACTGAATATTCGATGAAGCATTTCTGGGAAAAAAAATTCTACAGAACAAACCTTTCGCCTTTGGTCCGAAACTAGAACCACAGAAACGGCAATAATTTAGATGGAAGACACGGGAAGAGGGAAGGAAAAATCCAACCGCACCTACAGTGCGAGGAGGCTAACTGACCCACAACCCCGAACCCCCACAATGTAACCACGTCCTAAGCCCTAAGAAAGCCCAGCCGCCACATTCATCACATCCAGCACCTTTCTAATCCGATTACCCCGACGCACAGTTGCCTATGATAGCCATAAATACGTCAACACCATTTACAGCTAGAAGCGACAGGATTACTACTCACACAGTGAATCCGCATCACCCCTATCCAACGGCATCAGCCCTTACGGCACAAATGAATGCTATTTAAAGACTGTTTCACGGGGAGAGCATTTTGCACTTTCGTTGCTTCACTAGTCCCTGGTCAAGCTTGTGAAACCCTTGGGAAGCTGGAGCAAGCTCGTAAGCCATCAAGGTAAAACCTGAAGAGGCTGTCTAGACGGGTCGACACGCCAATGGAATTTAGCGAAAGCGCTACATGCCCCTCCCCATTCTTGATTCTGTGTGACCCTAATGTTTTGGGATAAAAAACATGAGAGAAGCGTCGAATTGCTGAGTTGGATAGTGGACGGGATTTCGATGTGATAAGAGCGTTAGGTATCACATATCAGGTGTTCTGACTTTGCTTTAGCGTCGTTATCAGTGTTGGTGCTTGTCACATGGACACACATATACACTCTCTAATTTGTTGACTTGTGATGTTTTTCCATCTTGTTGGGATGTTATTTGGTCGGAGGACTTTATTTCTCCCCAGAACTGGTTCATTTGGCTACATTTGCCTCGCTCACCGACATTTTCCTACTAATGCAAAAGTTCTACGCAGTCTTGAAGACTGACTTGGCTTTTTCCTGCTATGTCTGGTAATTGATTGGACCCGTCCACAACCCGCCACCACCCCTCCCTTCCAGGTGAAATCTTTTGGCAGTTTGCTGATATTGGTACGCAAGTTTTTAAAGAAGTCTTGGGGTCTTTACCAAGCAGCAGCTTTGAGGGGGGATCGCATTTTGCAAGAAATTTCCACAATGTGCTGGTGATGTTCCGGCAGGATACTCAGCTGCCCCCAAACTGCTCTTCAACAGTAGTTTCGCTGTGAAGGGGAGGGTGGAGAGCATAGACAATTCCAGCCACAAACCTGACATTTCTACTAACTTGTATTGTCCCGAATGAATTCATTTTTAATCATCTCGAATAGGATGGGAAACTTATAAGTCTTTCATCATTTCATCATGACTTTTCCTTTCCATCATAAACCTCACTTGTCACCAAGGTCTCTCGTCATTGCGCCTAATCCGACCTTCGAGATAAGGTAATTCAAAACGGGGCGCAGTTCTTCGACTTGGAGGGGGAGGGCCAAGATACACAGCAAAGCGTTTACAGGCCACCTTGTGAAGATATGAAAATTCTGGCAACCAGATTCCTCTTGTGCAATCTTGTAAGCTCTCAAGGGTTTACGCCTGTTAGTTAACACCTTAGAACACCTGGCCTGTTAGCTAACATGAACTGCCAGAAGAATTAGCTGAAAGTGGCAGAAGCCCTCCCTACCGAACAATGCCCAAAAAGAGTTGCGTCTTCGTAGTTGTCGTTTCTACCAGTCTATGATATAATATGGCTCAGAGCGAGGAGTAATGCTGCCTCTTTGCACCGCAACATCCTCCCATTGTGGGGCCGTTGATTGAGCTCCTCAAATATTGATCTACTTACTTTCCAGATTTGGTTTCGATGTTTTTCTTGGCTGTTTTCGTCGGTATCATTAGCTTCTTCTTCATCAGGTTATGGATTCAAAGAAGGAAACTACCGCCAGGTTCATTTTGAAATTTGAAATGAACCCGGATTATAATGCCAGATTTGCTGCGGTTGTACAGTCTTTAATGACTGCACACGCTGGAGTATGTGAGGGGGGGGCTGGGCTTTGGGGTGCGCAGCCAGTTTCCCGCGCACTGAGACTCGCCTGGTGGGCTTCCCAGTTAGTAACAACGACTGGCTATGTGTAAAACACAGCACTTCCCCACTCCCTCCCTGACACGCCCAGCGTACGCAACGAACGAGACAGCACCACTCTTTTGGTAGCACGCGACGTTGAGCAATGCTGTAATTATGCTCGAAAGCCATCGGTTTCCTCCCTTCAAAAGGCCAGAGTCACATTGCTAATTGCATGGGCGAGACATCCAACTGATGAGTCTTTCCATTCGATGTTCCCATTCTGAAATGGCGTGGAGGGGAGGTCTGAATTGGCCGCCTACGGCGCTATGGTAGCCCTGACACCACCCATGTGATAAGCGTGGACTGCTCTAAACTAGTCGGGCAGTGAGTGAGAGAACCCCCCCCCCCACCTCCAAGGTTTCTTTGACGAATGTCTGATCCTCGTTTTATGGAAATACTTCCTTTTAGGTCCGCTTCCCTTGCCTTTCATCGGCAATGTGCATCAACTCGCTTACAAACTGTTCATCAAAAAGAAGAATTTTGTCGAAGCTGTTCGGGACTGGGTTGAGGTAAGAATGAACTTTTCCCAGGAGTAATGATGCGAAGTTCTTCCGTGAGGCAATAAACTGGGCCGATTTAGGAATACGGTCCTGTCCATACCTTCTGGTTTGGGCCCATGGCGACCGTGAACATCTGCGACTACTCCACAGCCGTTGGATGCTATGGTGAAAAAAGGCTCAGCCTTTGCCAACAGAAATAATCCTTATCTATTTGCTTTGACAAGAAGTAAGTTGGCACTGTGCTGCCACTAGTATTGGTGCTTGTTAGCCTACTCGTTGAATCTGTCGCATTTTAGATGGGCGTGGAATCATCGTCACGAATGGACCGCCTTGGTTGGAGCAACGCCGTTTTGCATTGCACACTCTTCGGAACTTCGGTCTGGGGAGGAATATCATTGAGGAGAGGATCATGTACGAATTCGAAATTGCGTGAGTAGAAGTCCACTTTAAAGGCAAGTCCGGCGGTCGCCATGAAGATAGTGGACTAAGAGTTTGCATATCAGAGCTACAGTTTCTGAAGTAACTCATAGTTAAACGAAAAAAGAGAAATAAAATACCACGAACTAAAATAGTACCCCATTTCGATCCCAGCTGCTCATTACCTCCATCTGCAACACTACGCCCTTATTCGCACAGCTGATTCCCCGATAAGAATTCTACGAGCGTACAAGTGACGATTTTCATGCTTTATCGTCCTACAGCTTCGCTTTTCACTGAAAGGCGGTTCTTGAGGGCGGAGTCTGGAGGCGGACTCACTGGGAAAAAGGGGCGCCATTGAACCTATATTCCGCATTAGGCGCCTTCCCTTGCAATTTTTTCAGTTGGGCGGACCGCACAAAGGTTATCCTCACGGACACGCCACACTCCCAACGCATACTTTCCAACTTCTATACCTGGTCGCGGACCGTCCCCTTAAAGAAAAGCCACGGTTTGAAGTGCTAGTGAGAATATCCAAGCAGCTTCCAACCCGCGATTCAAAAAAATTCGTGAAAATAATGGCCCTTTGATCCTGACCCACCCATACAACCAGTGCGGATGTGCCTTCAAGCTGTTGAGCTTAGACGATTTAAAAGCAAGTGACACGATAGATCCCCAAGACGTGTAGGATTAATGCAGGTTCCGGGTGCAGGTGCTGCGTGGTGCTTTTCCGAAGGCTCAGGCTGCAACGTACCGACCCACCGCGTCCGCTCCCCCTCCCCACAAATGTTCCCGCCAATCTTGGAGCTCGTATCGCTTCCTTTGCGAAGTACGAAGGAATTGTTATGATGTTGCTGTGGTGATAAATGAGTACATACATAGTGCCGTATCTACCGTAGCATTTATTTGGCAGGATACCAACGGGAAACTTGCACCAAGATTGCTTTCTGAGTCGTGTAGAACAAAGGCCTTATCGCGGATCTTTGACCGTTTCACTTCGCTTTTTCGCCATTTTCCCACTATATGGCCCCTGCTACCATTTTAAGCCGAGCACCAAATCATCTTGCCTTATCTTTGAATCTTAGCAGGTGCGAGAGACTGGATAAACGTTTGGCAGCGGAAGGGAAATCTATTAACGCTCACAAGAATTTTGAGTTACTGATTGGGAACGTTATCAACCGAATGTTATTCACGGAACGATTTGAAAAAGGCTAAGTTTAAGAGAAAAACTTTTCTATATTGGGAGTTTTTGCCTCAAAAAATACGTTGAGGCATTCAAGACTCTTCCCTTTTTTCTCATGAGGATTCAATGGCCAGCTGAGGGGAAGGGGGCTTTGACGGCTTGGACAGGGCAACTCTCACTTTCCAGGCCTCTGAGGGAGAGATTGAGAGCCCAACCTTGATTGCGAGACCCTACTTAAAACCCCATAGACGCACGGTAGTCAAAAAAAGTATAATGCGATCTGTTCGTGATAACAAAAGTGCATTCATTTCCTTTTACTGATAAGGTCCGATTCTTGCCACCGACAAATGTCGCGGAAGCACAGCTTTGACCGCAGCGGACGCTGAGGCGTTTCAGGGGCCGGCTCGATCACAGCTGCAGGAGAAGGCTGGCGTGCCAAACCCAGTCCTCCTTAGACATCCCTCCATCCGCAAAGAACAAAACTATCAACTGAGTAAGCCCTCCTTGTTTCCCGTCGTGCAAACTTTTGCAGGGAACTAGTCAGAGTACTTACGCTCATGCCAAAGGTCAGTCTGGAGATTAAGAGCTTCTAGCCATCTAGGCACACGAAGGAATGTAGGAGGCGCATCTCAAAATCTCGTTTGACAAGAGTAGCAGAAAAAAAGGCGTAGTACTAACACTTGTTGGATAGTGTCAAAGTTTCTTTTCGAACAAAGATTTGCTGTATGTTATATATGTTATGTTATATATGTATGTTATGTATGTTATATATTCAGTGTAGGGGTGGGTTTGAAAGGTCCAGGTATCCAGAGCATTCCATGGCAGTTCCTTTGCAGGAAGAGGAAGAAAAATTCTTCACGTTGAAGAAGATCTTGGGACGACATGATGGAGTACTTCTCGCCTGTTTGATCTGCTTATTGATGAATGGAATGTGAATTGGCCATTCATTAGGAAAAGAGTGGATCATGTGATGAAGCCAATGGACGCTGTGCTCGATTTTTTTAGAGGTCAAATCGAGCGAAGGTAGGTGCGAGTTGTCGTTTTGTGTTAAACCGGGAACTTGTCACAGCCATTAGCTTTTATGGCCTCAAACAGCAAGCTGTAGACTCTGCCGAGGACGGTCTTTCCAAGGGCGAGTATAAGGTTCTGCGAGCTGCAGGAACTTTCTCGCCCAAAAGAGCATGGGACCGTGGCTGGAGGGAAGTGATACCCGGGTACTGTTTTGACTCCGCCTCCGTTATTCTCAGTCTGCAGCGCTGCCACGGCTACCAAGTCGCCGCAGCGAAACATGCATTCAGTAGCAGAAGTGAACCATGAGAGGGTGCGGACAAACAGCGCTTTTGGCTATGATTAGCACATAAGTGGTCGCGCGGCACGATAACACGGACATAGGAGTATGGAGACAGCCATTCATCAAGACCTCTCCAGCCCGTCCCTGTCCGCTTTTGACCAGCAACTGGCAGCTACCTGTAGATGCTTACTTTTTTCACCTATATATGGCAAGGATAAGGTCATCGCGGAGATTAGTGTGCAGTTCGGTTCGAAGTCACATTCGCGGCTACAAATCTCTTAGGTGACGTGTTTCAAACACGAAAACGTGAGCGCAGCTTGACTGAAGCAGTGGAGGCGAAAAGGACTGTAGGAAATACTTGACCTTCAAATATAAGTATAATATCTTAAATATAAGGTCCCTCCAATGTTGAAATGTACGAGAATAAGAATACAGGCCTCGTACGGACAAGAATACAGATGAAGAAGCGGCAGAAGCCACAGCCCGACGTCACGTTCACATAAGCAGTCTTGTCGGACATACCGGTTTCTGAGCGCTTTCAACCGCGGAAAAAGGTTGTATCCGTTGGATTGGCTCGGTCATGTCTGTTTACTTATTGTGGGAAGGACTGAGTCATTCCGCTAAAATGCACCTCACCTTTTCAGTTTTATGGGCAAACAAGTGTCTTTCATTTTGATTGTTTTCTGTCACTCCCAGTTCAGGTAGCATGGCTGCGGAACCAAACCGAGGAAGCTTTGGTGAAAATCGACATGGATAGCCGCTTGGCATCAAAAAATTTTGCGCTGTGGTTTCTAGGGAACTCTGGAATTGTTCGTAATCAGCTCACGTTCCCTAGAAACTTTTCACAATTCTAAAAACCTCCTTTTAGAACAAGAAAGGCACTGCAACTTGTAGTCCTGCAAGAAGCTGTTGTTTCTCGAAGCTCCCATTGACCTCATAATACTTCGACTCACTGGAAGAGCCACTCTTTATCCACTTATATCAGTCAAAAGCCGTTTCAGGAAACAAGAAATAGCTAACGGGACTCATGTACTGCAAGGAGAAGGCGATGATTTCGTTGACGCCTTCCTGATTCAAATGAAGAAAGAACGCGAAAATGGAGTGCCAACTAGCTTTGAGTGAGCATATTCATGTATCAACACATATTTCTTTGATGAATCTTTCCTTTACTTTCGTTTTTTTTCCATGAGTGATGTTTGGAGGGTTAGTAAGTCAGATACAGGGTCGAGTCACAGGGACGGCACGGCTCCACCGCCTGTTCTTTATCCTTGTGAGGGTCAACCGGACAATAAGAATTCATAACACTGACATTCACCTCAGTAGGCGACCGTGTCATTGCCCATGCAAAACCACATTCAAGTGCCACTAAATTCTGAGTGAAAGTCTGGTTCATGGCGCATCGCGAAAGGGGCTGATCACACTAGCTCCATACCTTTTTCCGTCTTTCTTTGCTGTAGACTTTTCTACTTTCCGATGCTGCTTTGGGCTCTCTTTGCATCTGTTTAGCCGGACTTTTTTCAGTGAGGAAATGCTGTTAATGTCGCTGCTCGATCCTATGGCTGGCCGGTCAAGAAACCACAATTACCACGTTGGAATGGGCGTTTTCCTTCTTACTGCTTAACCCTCACGTGAGTAAAGTGTCAGCCTGCTAGCTGTTCTTCAGTAAGGGTTTCGTTACATATTTAATACGCTGTTGTTCGTTTCGTATTTGAAAAAACATTCGGTATAAGTTATAGGTAATAGCTCGCGTTGAGGATGAGCTGTTTTCCGTTACAAAAGGTCGACGTCCGCTCTCTATCGTAGACAGGCCGAATACTCCCTACTACAACGCCACGATAGCTGTGAGTTCGGATTTCGTTGAGGCACAGCCCATGCTGGTTGTGTGGGCGGAGTCGGGCGTAGCATAGTGCGCCCATCATGGGTTTGGTGATAGGCCCAACTCTGCCCACACTCTGACCAGCTGAGTCTCGAGGGTCTGAGAAGCCAAGCGAATATCGTTTCAGGAGATCCATAGATGCGCAACATTAGTGCCGCTGAATCTTTGGCGAGATACTTCCGAAGATACCGTCGTTGGATCTTACGTGATTCCTAAAGGAACCGCCATCACAGCTCAAATCTCCCTCATTATGACTGACGAGAAACACTTCAAAAACCGCTACGAGGCAAATTTTCAAATTTTTAAATGTTGAGAAAATTTGTCTGAATTGTTATTTTCAGTTTAATCCAGACCGCTACTTCAATGGTAACAAACTAGAGCAAAGAGTGGTTGCTTTCGGACTGGGAAAGAGATCGTGTCTCGGAGAATCGCTTGCACAGGCAGAGCTTTATCTGGTGATTTCCATTCTTTCATTTTCTGGAAAAATCAATTTCTCCGAAAAAAGGGGTCCTTCTAAAATCATCGTGCTGGGCCCTAAAATTGAAGCAGACGATATGGGGAATGCGCTGAAGATTGGATGTTGGTGGGTAAGAGATAAGAAGGTTAGAAATCCTAACATGAGCAGGAAGCCAAACGAATCTTTTACCGGACTGGCCTAGACTTTCATCTCGCTTACATGTAAGTTTTAAAGAAAATTTTGTCCGGCTTTCCGGGGCACCATTGCATCACGGTCTACGCTGTCCGTATGGGCGGAGTCACACCTAACACTGTGCCTTCCCCGTGTGATTCGCCAGTTGCCTCGTAAGAGAGCGGGCGCGACGAAAGAGGCATTACAAGGAACTCACGCGAACGCAATTCACACCAGGACCAAACTAATTTGACGGGTCTGTCAATCCAGAAGACACCCTACCACTTGCCGCCTGGTGCCATAGAGTGGTAATTACGACCTACACCATTGCACTCCTCGTAGGTGCGTTACTCTTTTTCATCTTTTGTGAGGGAAAGAAGCAACAGAAATTGTTGAGATCACTGCAAGGCCTGACTCCGCCCATACAACCGGCATGGATTTTGCATTCGAATTGCACCAGAAATTGTGCTCCTACGGCTCCTTTCCGTAGAAAATACACAAACGCTAGAGAACTTGATGCAGCTACCCGTCTGTAGGCTTGCACACCGAATAAGCGCGGGACTCATCTTTAAGGACAATACTCTTCAATTAACCTGCTATTTTCATTAGATCCTTCATTTAGATCATCGCGAACTTCCTGCTTCGCTACAAAATCTCGGCAGATCCTCTTCATATGCCAAGCCTGAAAGCGACGAATGAAATGGGAACCATGAGGAAACCACATTCTTTTCACATTTGTTTTGAACATCGATAGTATTCTTAGACTACATTAAATTCCTTTATTGTTTTCCAAATAAATCCTTAAATATAATGTGTTTTCATGAATTCCTGGTGTAATAGGCATGGCTATTTTGCTGTAGTAATCGTGGAGTTCCAAAGCGGCTCGCCCGCCGGGAAATCGGAAAACTTTCTATGCCAGAGGAGTAGGAGGGAATCATGAGCATTTTCTATTGAATTCTGTGGAACTCCTTTACTTTCGGTGGTACGGATTATATTTCCTAGGAATCCAATGAAGAGGTATCAGAAGGTCCTTCCAGAAATGTTATGCGGCGCAAGTACCCTAAAATTTGGGTAACCGGCGCGGATATAGCCAATGAAGGAGGAGCACTGTTGACTCTTCTGATCCCAATCCAAAATGATGCAGGAAATAAGAAATTATAGCGGCCAGACCTCACTTAAACAGCTCCCACAGTACCGCGACCGCAAATTGCGGGAAACGACTCAAATAGGCACAAAGAAGTGCTAAGTATCTGATTAGCGGAGAAAAGCAGCAGAAAAAGCAGTCCGAAATGTTATAGAGAAAAGATAACATAGTGGCTACTAGCTAGTAGCTAGCAGCCGGTGAGGGTCGGCATGGGCCTAAGGGGTGTCCATGGGCCTAATTAGTCAGCTTCTAGCGGAGTTCTTGCCGTTTTTCACATTTTGAAAGTAGCGCAGCCTCAAAAATCGCCTTCCGGATCGTCCGACACATTCGAGAGGTCATAGCCTTATTTTTACTCGCGGGAATGCTGCCTTTAAAGGCACAGTTCGGACCGCAAGTTTGTTTTACGGAAACGGAACTCAAATAGGCTTAAAAGAGTGCTAAGTATCTGAGTAGCGGAGAAAAGCAGCAGAAAAAGCAGTCCGAAATGTTATAGAGAAAGATAACATAGTGGCTACTAGCTAGTAGCTAGCAGCCGGTGAGGGTCGGCATGGGCCTAAGGGGTGTCCATGGGCCTAATTAGTCAGCTTCTAGCGAATTTCTTGCTGTTTCTCACACTTTCAAAGTAGCGCAGCCTCAAAAAACGCCTTCCGGACCGTCCGACACATTTGAGAGGCCATAGCCTTATTTTAACGCGGAATGTGCCTTTAAAACAGCCCATTGGACATCCAGTTCTATTGTCTGTGTCCCATTCCGCTACAGCGACTTTGAGGTTTAACCAATGTGATGTGTGATACCCTGAAAAGGCGGTCTTTAGGACCACGCGACGTCGCGTACACGGCAATCTGCAAACACCGCGAAAGCGCAACCTCGCGACAAACTTATTGCGTTATTGAATTATGTATTTGTGTTCGCTCCTTTTTTCAGGCATGCTTGTCACTCTGGTAGGACCTGGTTTGTCACGACGGTTAGATTTTGTTTCATTTGCATAACTAGAGCGATTACATAGTAATTATGGTGCAGAGAAACCTGCTCCATAATTACTATGCAATCACGCGATTTTGCACGCGAATCAATCTAGCCTACCTGCTAATCCCTAATCATTTGGCTGTCACGATGCTTTCTGACACCATACTATCAGAGACTGTACTTATTGTTGTATAGCTAAGGTGCGACGCACTGTCCTGTTGAAAAAAATAACAACGAAATTACACGGTCGCAGAAATAAAAACATCGCGGTGCGCGCCGATTGTAGCCATACGCTACCTGCAATTTTCGCACGCGACGCCGCGTGGTCCTATCGTCACAAACCCGGTGCCCTGCAGTGTGCTCCGCTCGGACTCTCACACCACTGGGAAAACGTTTGCGCAAAGATATGAAGAGTCAGCACTATGTCAATAGAGGAGGGGTACAACCAGGATTATCTGAAGCTACGTCAAAGGACTTCGCTAACACCCTGCGATTCTCTGCCCATTCGGTTATCGCGGAACCTCGAGTACAGCCCAAAAACACGCAAAGATAGAGGGATAGAAACCTCATCAGAATCGATATTTATTATGATAAACGTCTTTTCATTAGTCTTACAAAAACATCTCAATGTCCTCTATCTGTACAGCTTTAATACAACTACAAAATTAATCAGACTGCGAAAAAAATTAGAAAAACAGAAAAATACTTTAGAAAAAAATTGGAAAAACAGAAAAAATACAAGTGTTCGATAAACGAACAGCTGTAAAAGGACGTGAATCATCACTGAATATCACTGATGATCAATCTACATAACAAGGGTTCATCGACAAGTCGTTAATTACAAAAGAGATTTGTCAAGTCGCTCGAGCTCGTTTCATCTTTCTTTTCATCTTTCTCTTCTTCATCTTCTTGGTTCTCTTTTTTCGGCCTATAATTTCGATGCTGCATATTCCCGTGACTACTTTGAAATGCGCATTAGCAGGCAAGGGGAATGGGCCCCAAATAAAGCAGTAATTGGAAAAAATCACTCCATGGTCGACCTTTTGCTTCCTGCTTGCCAAATTCTGAAA